GGAGGCTAGAAGCTTCCAGTCCTAGGACTAGCGATAGAATAGAGGAAGAAACACTCTGGAATCAGCCCAAGCCCATACACATGCCTTCATCCGAGGAAATAAAAGTTACATACACCTGTTTCTACGTTCTCTAATTCACCACTGAAGGTTGGTGATAATGCCACAGATGATTCTGCACCCATTGGATGTAGATCTTCCTCTTCTTATATTCAAGCAGCAGCAAAAACTCTGAAAATAATTATAAAATATAAACATAACTATGAATTACATAGAATTACATTTTATGCTCTGAGATTAAAGTTTGGGGTGGAGAAATCTAGGGGAACATGAAAGAGCTGCAGAAATCTCAAAGGCATTTTGAAGTGTAGATTTGTTCATTTGTTCGTTTGTTTGTTCATTCCTTCCTTTTCAAGACAATGTTTTTTTTTTTTTGTTTTTGTAGCACATGGTATCCTGGAACTCACTCTGTAGAAGAAGCATTCCTTAAACTCAGAGATTAGCATGCCTCTGCCTCCCAAGTGATGAGATTAAAGGCATAGGCCATCACACCCAAGGAAATAAAACTTTTTTTAAATTTTTACTTTATTTTTTTATTACAATTGATTCACTTTGTATCCCCTCTGCAGCCCCCTTCTTCCTCTCCTCCTAGTCCCACCCATCCTCCCTTTTCCCATCCTATGCCCTTGCCCTAGTCCACTGATAAGGGAAAACCTCCTCCTCTTCTATCTGACCCTAGTTTATCAGATCTCATCAAAGCTGGCTTTGTTGCCTGGCAAGGCTGCATCCCCAAGGAGAAGGTGAGCAAAGAGCCAGCCACTGAATTCATGACAGAGACAACCCTTGTACCCATTAATAGGGAACCCACTTGGAAACTGAACAGCCTAGGGCTTCCTTTGAACAGGCATCTAGGTCCTCTCCATGCATGGTCCTTAGTTGGAATATCCATCTCTGCAGGCCCCCCTGGGCCAAGGTTTTTGGCTCTATGGGTCTCCTTGTGGAGTTCCTGTCCCCTCTAGGTCTTTCTACCTCCCTCTTCTTCCATAAGGATTCTGGTACTCTGCCCAAAGTTTGGTTATGATTCCAAGTAACCCCTTCCATATCCTGGAGGGTAGAATCTTTCAGAGGTCCTCAGTGGAAGGCTCCTATGCTGTTACTTGTCTTCTCCTACTTCTAATGTCTATGTTGTTGGCCTTTCTGAATGAGGATTAAGCAACTTTCCTGGGGGCATCCTTGTTGCTTAGCTCCTTTAGGACTACAGATTTTAGTAGTTTTATCCTATATTATATGGCTAATATCCACTTTTAAGTGAGTATATATCATGTGTGCCTTTCTGCTCCCTGGTTACCTCACTCAGGATGATCTTTTCTAGTTCCTACCATTTGACCGCAAATTTCATGATTTCCTTGTTTTAAAATTGGGCTACAGAGCTAAACAGAGAATTCTTAACAGAGGAATATTGAATGACAGAGAAGCACTTGAAGAAATGCTCAACATCCTTAGCTATTCAGGAAATGCAAATCAAAACTACCCTGAGATTTCACCTCACACCCGTCATAATGGCTAAGATAAAAAACTTAGATGATGCATGGTGGAGAGGATGTGGAGAAAGGGGAACCCTCCTCCATTGCTGGTGGGAATGTAACCTTGTACAATCACTTTGGAAATCAATTTGGCGCTTTCTCAGAAAATTAGGAATATTGCTACCTCAAGATCCAGCTATACAACTTCTAGGCGTATATCCAAAAGATGTGCCACCATTCAATAAGGACATTTGCTCAACAGTGTTCATAGCAGCTTTATTTGGAATAGCCAGAATCTGGAATCCTCTCTCAATGGAGGAATGGATACAGAAAGTGGTACATTTACACAATGGAATACTACTTAGCAATTAAAAATGAAAAAAATAAGACTTTTTAAAGTAAGGTAAGGAATATGATTTGGGATTAACTTCTAAGAAATATAAAAAGGCAAGACAAATGGTTTTGATTTGGAAACTAAGAGACAAGAAGTTAATACAGATATTAGTAAGAATTGTTTCACTACTTAAAGTTACTTTATCTTTTTGATACTAATACAATGATAACATTTCTTCCTTACCATTCCTTGCTCCAAAGCCCACCTACATATTCCTCCCTGCTTTCCTTCAAATTCATGCCCTCTTTTATCGCTAATAATTATTGCATGCATATATGTACATACATATATATTCCTCATTAAACCTGTTCAGTGTGCACAAGGGTAACATCTGTGTATTTTTTCAGGGGTCTGATCATTTTGCCAAAATCAGTCTACGCAAAGGAAAAAGCATAGTAAAAGATATACTATTTATAATCTTGTTGTCCAAACTTCAAAGGGTATTTTTAACACATATATGGAAAGAAGAGTTATACATAAGTGACTGGAGAAAATGATTTAAGAATTTCCTGCAAAGGGAAGACATTTCGAATGGGCTCTGTTTTAATTTTTTATTTTACTTGCCCATGTCAATCAACTGGTTGTGCCCCTTGAAGCTTTTGAGGAAGAAGACTCCCAGTCCAAAGATTGACCAAAGCTACCAATGTACTATATCTGTTATTCTATCTGAAGGTAGAAGTGAGATAGAGGACATTTCTGGTGTCCTCATAAAAGCAAATACACAAGCCGCTGAGCTAACTGAGCAAGGAGGCAGGAGGAAACTGTTTTTATGATAACAAAGCTTCAGCAACATCCAGAGCTTGATGCCCAAAGATTTCCACTAAGTCACAGATATTTATTTGGAAAAAATTTAGGGAGGGTCAGTTCCAAGAAACCAGGCCAAAAAAAAAAAAAAAAAAAAACCAGGGCCATCAGAGACTGTGATAAAAGCCTCTGAAAGACTCTAGATAGCACTGTATCAAAGCAGAAGCTGAGACTCATAACCAAACCTTGGGCAGAGTTCAGGAAATCATATGAAAGAAGTGGGAGTTAGTAAGACCTGGAGAGGACGGGAGCAACCCAAGGACCAAATATATCTGGGCACAGGGGTCTTTTCTGAGACTGTTTTTCCAACCAAGGACCATTCAGGGATATAACCTGGAACCCATGCTCAGACATAGCCCATAGCAGCTCAGCATTCAAGTGGGTTTTCCTAGTAAGGGGAACAGGGACTGTCTCTGACTTGAGCTCAGTGGCTGGCTCTTTGCCCTTCCTTTCACCCAGAGGGAGGAGCAACCTTTCTAGGCCACAGAAGAGGACATTGCAACCAGTCATGATGAGACCTGATAAACTAGGGTCAGATGGAAGGGGAGGAGGATCTCCCCTATCAGTGGACTTAGAAAGGGACAGGGAGGAGATGAGGGAGGAAGGGTGAGATTGGGAGGGAATGAGGGAGGGGGTTACAGCTTGGATGCAAAGTAAATAACCTGTAATTAACATGAAAAATAAAATTATAAAAAAGATTAGTATCTCACCAAGATATTAATGTTTTCCACTATAAAAAAAAAACTGTTGTATTTCATAATGAAGTAAGGAGAGTGGAGAGAACAGCTCTAGATAAGGCATTGACTAAGTGAATCTTGGGGAAGATTCAGTGAATGATGAGGTGAATCACAGTGAATGAGGAATTATAGTCGATTGTTATGTATCACACAATTAAAGATTTATTAAATCATCTCTCAGCCTTCACTTTCTGGAATAATTTATCATTGCAAATTATTAAAATCAGATCATTAGTTTGAATAATGAAAATCTCAGGAGAAAAAAGTTCTCCAAGGTTCATTTTTTTAAAATTAAATAGAAGTTTATTCCTAATACTGTCGCATTAAAATCATTGTTTAGAGCTCATGTGAGTATAATATTAAATGTTGATTTTATTTTCAATTCTAAAAATTAACTTAAAGTCACTTAAGTAGGCCAAATGGTATTGTAAAACATTTTTTTATAACAGATGCATTATTACAGAGATTCAAATGTGTGTTTCTACAGTTTTTAACTAGTGCTTAAGCGACTGTAAGAACAAGCTCTAACACCATAGGTTTATTTACTGAAATGTAAAAGAAGGCCCCCAGATATGCCACCTGTCTGATATGCAAAAGTGTGTGGCAAAGAACAAAACCAAACAAAAACAAAAAACTTGAGTTCTGAAAAAGAAGCCCTCATTTACCCTACAAGCCACATAGCTGTTGAGGTGTTTGTTGACGTACTCTTCATGAAATCAGATCCAGGACTAGGTACACTCTGGGTATTTGATGCCATGGACATTCTAACTCCTTTCATGACCTATGGGAATAGAACCTGGATAGGACAGTTGAGGGACCAGGGTACTGGCAGTTGGAAGCATGATGGAGGTCAAGCCAAGAGCACCGCAAAGACAGGTAAGTGTATGAAGGATGTGAAGAAAGTTAGGGCAGCCTGGGAGTAGGGGGGGGGGCATGAATTTAACTCAAAGTAGAAGTCTGTTCTTATTTACACCTTAATAAAACAGCAACAAAGAACAGATTTATTGATAAAAAGATAAACCAAACAATTAAATTCCCCCCCCCAAAAGTTAACTGTTATTATTAAAGCAAGGCCATTAACTTTTAGTAGTGCAAGTAAATGTTACATAAGCCAATAATAGCCTATAGTATACCTGATTTATTTTTACCTTTACAGGCCAGTTAAATTTGTTTTAAATATTAGATAAATCACTAGCCATAGAAACACCATTAAAGAAGCCTATAATCTGTAACAACCATGACCCAGAGAGTGCTTTTACTAAAGTATGATAGTTATTTCATTGAAAATTAAGATGCAATCTCTATACTTGCAGTCTTGTCTTGTCTTCATGTTTACTTCCGTTTCAAAGGCATTGATTTTTCACAGCACAGAGCAAGGGTTTTGTTACTTGCTAACAGCGGACAAATGGTTAACTGCTTTTGCTTTGTTTTGTTTTTGCTTTGTTTGTGTATGTGGGGATGTGTGTGTGAAGAAATAGAAGAAGAAGAGTTCATCACCAGTGAGACTTCATCTTAAATCACCTAGAAGAAGAAATAAGCTTCATCATGTCTTTCATGGTTCATAAACGGAAGAGCAGCAAAAAACATTATCATGGGGATCCTCTTCTTATGCCCAAAGTCCCTCGTATCAATCTCTTGCTCCTTCACGAAGAGAAACACAGGCTACAGCTCAAGAAATTCCTCCTTCACAGGATGTTTCTAGTGGGCTACATACAACCCAACGCAGAGAAAAGGGTAATTTCTGAGTACTACGAGCAACTCTTTCAGTCCATTCTGAAGCATCACTTAGGAGAAGGGGTGACAGGATTGTTCCTCATATATCCAAGTTCTTTTCTACATATCCTGGAGACCTCCAACGGCACTCTTTTCCGGATTCTTTTAGATTACGTTGCCCATGAAAAGGAAACAGATTTTATGATCGAAAACATGAAAATTGTCGTCGTTTCTCACAATATCCCCACGAGGCTGTTCATGCAGTGGTATGTCTGTGTCATCAATGTCCCCGTTTTGTATCTCGATGACGTGACGCAGACTCAATCTGTGTTGGAAGTCACCACAGATTTTCTCAGCATGTCTCACAAACTGGCACTCCACCTGTTTAAGACCGTGAAAGTGGGCACTAAAGGGCCGGGTGACAACTTACACCAAGTAGCCCCCGACCTCCTCCTCCCAGAACACACTATCAAGTACTTATGCAAAGCTGAAGAATTTCTGGACCCAGAAACATTCTTAAAGATGTATAACAGACCCATTCATGTTATCTCAGATTCTGAGTTGGTGTGGCCAGCTCCTTCCCGTTTCTAGCATGGGGAGAGATGATGCAGGCATTTCTCACCAAGGTTTTGTATTGTTTTAAAAACAAGGAAATATTTAAAGTTACTCTTTCAAAATAAAAAAAAAGGAACAGAACATAGAAATAAGCACACAGAATGCTGATATTTGCAGCATATCAAGAGCCAAACGTAACAATAAATGTGCTTGTTGGGACATAAAGTTCAGTAGATTTTTTAAGGTAAATGAGTTTAATAAATTTGTTAGTTCAATCATTTTTCATGGCATACTTGTTTTAAAAGCATAGTTGAAAGGGATTTAACACCATTTAGGCCTTCAGGTTCTCATACATTCTCTGAACAATTAACAAGCAGCTTTTATCATATAACAAAAGAAAGGTGTTTGGGAGTAGATCATTTCTAACAGTTTGACACTTAAACCAGCAACCTAAAGTTTCAAGCCAGCAACCTAAAGTTTCAAGCCAGCATCATATATAAAAGTAATGCAGTATAATATATAGTAAGGTGGGTTATAATGCGAATAGTATAGTAGAAAGAGGTAGAAAGGTTGGAGAGATTGCTTAGTGGTTAAGAACACTGTCTGCTCTTCCGAAGGACCCGAGCTCAATTCCCAGCACCCACATGGCAGCTCACCACTGTCTGTAATGCCAATTCCAAGGGCTCTGACACCTTCACACTAATGCACATAAAAAAGGAGAAAGAGGTAGAAAGAGCTTTCAGAACACAAATGAATAAACCATTATTGTACAATTCCTGTATCAAAGAAACCTTAACCTCTGAAAATAGTCCTGAAGCATCCATATTCTGGCCTACTTAGTAATACTGAAACTATTATAATGCTGAAAGATACAATAATTTTCTGGAACAACTAGAAAACACTAGCAAGTTTCAACCTATTTTTTAATGCAACATTGATTGATTGATTGAGCAGTCCTCCGTGTGACAGACATTTCTCTGTCATTAGAAATGTTGCAGTACCCATAAGGTATTGTTCCTGCCCACTTTAAAAACTTAGCAAGTGATTACATGTAAGCAATATTATAGGAAATGAACAATGTGTGTCTGCTCTGTCAGATAGGATCTTAATGGCAGGGTGAATATGTTTGAAAAAAGTATTTTCTAAGCCTAGCTAGTTTCCGAAAGTTAAGCTTATGGTTAAAAATTAAACATTAGTGTATACTTAAAAGTATACAAATATTATACAAAAAAATGTCTACTCTGATAAATCCAATCCAACATGCTTTTCTTGAAATGTGATCTTCATATTTCCTTCTGTTCCTTTTTATGTGACAGGCTTTGTGCTTAAACTTTCACAGCCTTTTTTAAAAATCTAGTTTAACCAATAGAATATGGCAAAAATAATGCTGTGCAACCTCCAAGGCTAAGTCAAATGCCAAGTGCCTTGCTTTGCTTGTTTAAACCTGAGCTCTTAGAATCCAGGTACTATGTGTGTGAATACTTAAAGCATTTTCCAGATGACACCCTCAGCAAGGGACCAGCTGAAAGCCAGGATCCAGCACTAGGTGCTAAGGAAGACTTGGTGGTTCCTGATTCTCTGCTTCCAGGATTATGAGCAAAACCAGTTGACACTGTATGGAATCAAGTTGGACTCTTCCTAGAATTCTGCTCAAATTACAGACCTGAGATGATTATATAGTTATCTGGAATTATAAAATGTATGTATGTATGTAAATACTCTTCATCAGTTACTATTCATTCGTTTATGAATATTCCTAGATGCCTGCAAGTAAACACTGATTACATAGTGAATCTCTGTAGTTGGCTGGATATCCCAACAGTGGTAAAATGTGTCTCCACCACACTGCATACCTTATGCCATTAATCAGTCTATATCATTTCCTGATATAAGAAAACCTGATAGAAAACTAATTCATTAGGCTAATGAAAATCTTGAGCAATCACAATCAATTATTAAAGAAAGTTATGGATATATCTAAATGATAATATTGCTGATTTACTTAGTGTACTGTAAATTTTAAAGATTCATGAAATCAGAATATATTATATGAAAATAAAATCTATTTTCAATAAAAGGAAAATATATACATAGCTTAATTATGCATTCATTATGGTAAGCAGATTATAGTGAATTCATTCAAATGAAATTCACTTGCTATAGTAGTCAATTAAGAAGGATTTATTATCCTTATCCCAACAACAATGTCATACCTAAAACATTTTGTAACTCTTTTATGTCAAATAAGTAAAGAGAATTTATAACCAAAGTGAATGTAAATATTTCAGGTAGCTGAGAGGTATGACACTCTTTTTAAATATGACAAATATTTTAAAAAATATTTGATTCTAAGGAATAATAAAAATCATTTAAAAATAAAATAATATAAACCAAAGCCATCACATCGAAGTTGGACAAGGCAAATTAGCAGAAGCTAAGAAGCCCCAAGAAAAGGCACAAAAATCAGAGGCCCACCTGTTCACAAACTCAGGTGTCCCATGAAAATACTAAACTGAAATCAAAAATATATATGTACAGGACCATTTGAAAACTCATCTAGGCCCTGTGTATGTTGCTTCAGTCTCTCAGTTCATATGAGCTTTGCCGAGTTGATTTGGAGGGCCTTGTTCTCTTGGTGTCCTCAATTCCCCTCTGAATCCCACATTTTTTCTTCCTCCTTTTCCATGGGGTTCCTTGATCTCTGAAGGGGGGGAGTTGCTGAAGATATCCCATTTAGAGCTGAGTGTTTCAAGGTCTATCTACCTCTCTGTGTAATATCTGGCTGTGCATCTCTGTATTTTATCCCATATTCTGCAGGAGAAAGTTTCTCTGATGATTGAACAGGCACTTATATACGAGTGTAGGTGAATATCATTGAGTCATTTTATCACTGTTTTTTAAAAAGCAGTAGTAATTGGGTTTTGGATAGGTCTCTGTATTGTCTAGTCTCTGGTTTTGGTCACCCAAGCAGTGTTGGGTATAGGTTTCATTTCATGGAGTGGTCCTTAAGTCACTCAGACACTGGTTACCTACTTTATTGCCTTAGACTATTTTGCCACATTGTAGATCAAAAGTTTTGTGGTTGGCATGGTGATTGTTTCTCTTTTGGTGGCCTGCAAAGTGAGTACCTTCCCATATTAAAGACACTAGAATGTGAAGGTTCTATCTAAACACCAGCTTGACCTCCCCATGTTCATGAATTGTAAGGGTGTTGTCTTTAGCAATGGGCTCTTGCTGTCATTTGTGGTGAGTAATTGTATTGTATTGGCAACAGTCTGGATGGTTTGAGGATTTCCAAGGGACCTCTTTGGCCAACAACTCAACTGCATGTAATCCAGTCTTGGTACTAGAGGCTTCATCTGGCGACAAGGGATAACTAGCTGAGATTCTGTCTCCCTAGTTATTTGAAGACTTCATTAAGATCACGTTTATGTATTCCAGGAAGTTTGCACTGCACTAAGTTTTCATAACTTTAGATTTCCTGTTCTGGAATTATTTGTCCATGTGTCTTCTTGGGTGTATTTTTACTTCTTTTCAACTTAAGTATTTTTTCCAGTATGTACTGTAGACCTGGCTTAGTAGTTATACATCTCTTAACCTGCTTTTATCATGCAAAGTTTTTATTGTCCCTTTAATTTTAGAGGATATACTATGTGGTTCATTATTCTGGGCTGACAATTATTTTCTTAGTTCTTTGAGTTACTTTATTTCTGAACTGGGGCTTGAACAATTGAAGTAGTTTGTCAATCATGTCTTTCTTATTTTTGCTTAAGTTTCTTCTTTCTGGTGTATGTGGGAACAATGTGGAATATTAAGTTTTAAGAGGCTTGAGACTTTTTTGATTGAATTTGTATAGAGGACTTGAGATCCTACTCTGTGAGTGAACAGACACTAAGGGTCAGTATACACCTTTCTTGGTTTATCCTGTGCTGTCATGTGGTATGGCTCTCCAATTCCATTGCTATTCTTTGAGGGAGCTTAGTCAACCAGATACAGTGGGTAGATTTTGTTAAGCTGTTAGATGTATTTTTAGAAGAAGATATATCAGTTGATGAGGGGCAGAGTTTACTTGGGAGAGCTGGAAAGTGAAAGGGCTAAAAAGCTTATAGGCTGGATGGGAGTAGGCCTATACTGGGCAGGCATGTTCTAGAGAAGCCAGTCAATATGACCAGATCTCACAGGACCTGGGAATCTTATATGGTATAGCAGAAAACTGCCTATCCATTGTCTAAGAGAAAGGAGATCATGGAGGCAGTGGACAGCCTACAAGTTACAGAAGAGCAGAGCCCAGCTGATGGGTCAGGAAGGGAGATCACAGAAGAGCCTACCCACATTGACTATGGTGACTTGGTGACATATGGAAATCTTGAAAGACATTGACAGGTTTCTGAGTTGAGAAAAACGAAACTTCATTAGCTGCAAGGGGAGTAGAAATCCCTAAAGAGTCAGGCAGGCCTGTAGTATACAAAGGAGCAGATCCATCTAGTGGCAAAAGGAAGGGATCTTTCAAGTCCCAAATAGATTTCAAGAAGTTTAGCAAGTTATATACATTTCAAATAAGGTAAACTAACCTGTAGCAAGACCAAACTTTGAGCTTCTCAGAGAAGTGAAAATATGGCAGCCTGTTGCGAAATTCAGATAGCGAAATATTTTCTGATTATTACATATTGCATTAAATGAATTAATGGAGAATTAGAGTACTCCCTCTTGTGGTCAATTATTTAAATTTCCACACACCGGCCAGGAGGATTTACAAAGTAAATATAATACATAGATTTTAAGAAAACAGAAACAAAAGCCCAAAAGTGCCTCTCAAATGCTTTAACTCTATTCAGAAAATAAATATTCTGAAACTTAAAGACACTAAATTGTTTTTCTCAAAGTAAGAATAAGCATTGAAAAATGATAGTCCCATTTCATTTAAAACACGGCTGATACTGTGGTCTTGCCAGGCCATGGAGGAAGAGGATCCAGGCAGTCCTGATGAGACTTAACAAGCTATGGGTAGTTGGCAATAGTAGAGAAATCCCCTTTTC